TTAGAATGATTAAACATGAATAACTATTATAATAAGTTGTTCTATAATAACTGTTTTATTATTTGAAAAAATTAGTCATATAGTTACAATTAAACAATATTTCCACTTAAATATTATAAAAAAGATTTTATTATTGAAGAATTAATTGTTGAAGATTTAGCTTTGATAACAACAGTTTTGTTCACTTGATTGATATTTTTAGTGTAATTTTATTTCATTTAAAGGAAGATGCCAGACAGCTATTTTCACTGGCAAGTGGTGTTGAAGATGGAAGTTTTACACCAGAGCTTATTGCAATCATGAAACGCTTGTGGAGAGATGAAGGGGTACAGCAATGCTTTCAACGTTCCCGTGAATACCAGCTAAATGATTCAGCAGGATTGTAAGTTAAAAATTGACTTCATAAGGTCTCACATTGATATTAAGTTAAATTGTTTATATAAATATATATTAAAATTGCTATTGCTTAGTTACTTGTCAGATTTGGATAGAATTGGTGCACCTGACTATGTTCCAACACAACAAGATGTTCTTAGAACCAGAGTAAAGACAACTGGAATTGTTGAAACTCACTTTGTTTTTAAAGAACTTCATTTCAAGTATATACATATTTTTTTTTAAATAATATAATTTTTGTTTAATTTTTTTTTTCCACAACAGTTTTCCAAGAATAAAATGCTTCTTTTTGGTTTTTATCTAGAACTTATTTCTAATTTTTATTTGGATCTATTTCTGAATTGAAGTTATTGTTTAGTTATTATCTTTAAGGATGTTTGATGTTGGAGGTCAGCGTTCAGAAAGGAAAAAGTGGATTCATTGTTTTGAAGGTGTGACTGCTATTATATTTTGTGTTGCACTCAGTGGTTATGATCTTCTTCTAGCTGAAGATGAGGAAACAGTAAGTGCTTTAAAGTCTAGATCAAAAAAATAACATTGTTTTAGATTGCATTAAACTTTCATTTGACTTTTTTCTATAATATTGAATATAATCATTTTACTTAATTTTTCATTTTTATTCAGTATAATTTAACAGTTTTGCTCACTATGGTATTTTTTATTAGCTAGATTTTGGATTATACTAGGATGCTAAATATATTTATAATCAGGCTTAGCCAGGAAGGTGTGCGATTTTACGTCATAATATGACCACTTAAATACTATTTGATTTTGAAAAATTTAACCACAGCTGTTAATGGTATGATAATTTGTATACTTTTTAAAAATATGCTGAAAAAATTATCTTAACTTAACTATAAAGAAACTAAAAAAAAAAAAACTTAACATAAAAGAAGCAAATAAATCTTCATAAAAAAATAGCGAAAAATAAAATCAACTTAACTAAAACTAAAATTAAAAAAATAAAATTAAAACTTAACTAAAATAAATAATAAACTAAAACGATAATTGAATTTTGTTTGGAATAAATACCTTTTAATTCGTTTAACTTTACTAATGTTTTTATAATATAATATTAGGCGAAAAAAAATACATATTTATATAAATATAAAAAAGTATTATTCATTAATATTTAAAAAAAAAATCATTAGCAGCGATTTGTTACTTAATTCAATTGCGTTTCAATAATATAAAAACATGAGATCAAAATTATTTAAATCAAAGCCTTTCGAAAAGTGTCTTTTTTTTTTCTTCTCAACAAAACTTTTTTACTTTTCAAGTAAATTAACTTTAATGGTTCTTATATATTGTTTATTAAAGAGCCCATCACTGTTTGAAGCTGTCACTTATAAAGTTTAAATTTTAAAGTCGTTGCCTATAAAATTATTATTATTATTATTATTATTTTTTTTTTTTTTGATAAATTATATTTTTTGAATTTCAATTATAAAAAAATCTTATATAATTAAACAATACAAATAAAAGTTTACACAACTTTCAATGGTACTTTAAGTTTAAAATCATAAGCTACTTTATTTAAAAGCATTTTGTTAATATAAAAACTTTTGTAAAGATAAACATGTCAAAGTTATTTGTTTTCAACTTAATTAAAAACCATTTTTTTCAGCGCATTTGTTAAAAAATGTGGTCAAATTGTCAAAACAAAATATTATTTGCGTGGCCATATAAAGGGTTAAAATCTGGCACTTTCCTGGCAAAGCCTGAATATAATATATAAAAATTGCAAAAATATGATTAATTTTGTATATGTTCTTGGCTAGCATAGGCTGACTATTTATTTAAACTGGTTCTTTCCTAACAAGGTTGCTAACAACCACTATTAAATTGAGATAACAAAGAATTGTGTTAAAAAACAAGGAAATGGTTGATAGAAGACTTGTAAGTTGTAAGCTGTAGGTTATGTAAGTCAGAAAGTAAGAATAACAAGTAAGAATAGTTGTAGGTTGTATAAGTCAGGAAAATACGAAGATATGAGAGAGTTCCAAAGCATTGTAGTGCATGGGGAAAAAATAAGGGAATAAAAGTTTTTAAAACATGAAGGGACAGATACAATAAAAGGATGCAACCTAGCTAAATGATGAGGATCAAGCTAGAATGAGTTTTGGTTGATGGAACTAGAGATGACAAAAACTTGGTAAAGAGCAGGTCCAAGTATGTTTTTAATGCGTTTTTAGACCTTGTCCAGAAGAGAAAAAACATTGTTAGTGTTCCATTCAAGGACAAATAAGAGATTTCTATTTTTAGAGAATGGAATCAGGAGATAAGGTAGATTTTTCTCAAAACAGTGTCCCCAAAAAACTTCTGGATATGTCACTAAGTTAGTCCAAGCCTAAAATTCATTAGTCTTGAAATTAGCTTATTTTACAAAGTTTGCTGGTATTTTTTATTTAGCAAACTTTAGAGATAAACTAACAAATGTTAGTTTAATTATTGTGTATTTGTATTACAAATGGTTTGATACCTGTTAAAATTTTGTGTGTTGTATTAAAAGTGGTTGGATACCTGTTAAAATCTGGAATTTGACAAAAGTTAAACAATAAATATTTTAAATTCAACTTATTACAACACACAAAATTTTAACATTAATTTTCTGTGATCGTGTGTACCAATTGTTTTGCACTAGTTCTCGTGAATCATTTGATAATTTATTCCAACAATATTTATTTTATATAAAATATTATCTATAAATATTTGATATCTATATCTATAATAAAATATTATCTGTAATAATTTTTTTTATGAACAAATTTATTATAAGCAAAAATAATACCAAATCAAAGATATGTAGTTATGATGGGGATTAATGTTTTACAAATTTGAACTACGATCATAATGTAAATAATTCATTAGCATTATAAATAACTGTTATATGGATGGTTGAGCGCCAAACCAGCCAATACAACAAAATTGAAAATAGTTTTTTTAAAAGACAGTTTATGTAGTGTTGCTTTGCAAACACCAATATACTATACTTAAAATTTTTAAGTGCTCTGAGCAGCAATTACTTTTACGTTTTTTTAGTTTAGTGGCTTTTGTAAAAAACTTTTAAATTTTGCGTCTCATATCTTAATCTAATATTTCAACATGTTTGTTATATAGTCTGGTTTGGTGCTAAGCCATCCATATGTACTTGTATAACGTATAATGATATATTAAAAAACAAAAGTGAACACAAATATATGCCATCTGGCTTATGATTTTCCAATAGAACTTTAATAAAACGTATTAAGAATATAAAAATATTATTTATACCCATTTTATCCCATTATCATTTTACCTGTGTATATATTTAATCACATTTAAAATTTTTGGTTATTTCTTATGGGTGTAAGAGTTTACGAATATATTTATATCATAGTACTTTCTTTAGTAATACTGAAGTCTGCAGACTTCAGTATTACTAAAGAAACAGTTTTAAGACAAAGAATTTTTTTTTTTTTTTTTTTTTTTTTTTATGATTATGAATGACTATTACTTATCCTTTCTTATATTGTTAGAATTGTTATCTCTTACTGCAATAATTTCTTTATTATTGCAGTAATTTCTCTTGAATTTCTAAGGTTCAAGAGATTTTGAATTTTCTAACTGAATTTTCTAAGGTTCAAGAGATTTATTTTCTCTTTATTTAGAATCGTATGCATGAAAGTATGAAATTGTTTGATTCAATTTGCAACAACAAATGGTTTATGGATACTTCCATTATCTTATTTTTGAATAAAAAGGATTTATTTGCTGAAAAAATAAAGAAATCACCATTAACAACATGCTTTCCTGAATATATGGGTAAATATACTATTTTTGTGCATGTGAGTTTTTTTTTACTGATGAAAAAGTATAACACTTTTGTTCTGATTAGGTGCAAATACATACGATGAAGCAGGGTCTTATATTCAACTTCAATTTGAAAATTTAAATAGTCGTAAAGGAGAGAAGGAGATTTATACACATTTCACGTGCGCAACAGATACAAACAACATTCAGTTTGTTTTTGATGCTGTCACCGATGTTATTATCAAAAACAATTTGAAAGATTGTGGTCTTTTCTAATTTATTTTTGTTATTTGTACCAATCTTAAGAAGCGTGGGATATGTTGGAAGTTTTGCAATACGCAATTGAAACATTTTTCCATTATTGTTAGATAGCACAACGTGCATATAATTTCGAACATACTGACTTGTACTGCTAAATTAATTTTTCGAATCATAAAGTAATTTATGAATCACTCCGAAAAGTATCTTTGCGGACGATCAAATCAAACAAGAGTTCATAATGATATAATAATTAAATTCTCTATTGAAAAGCTTTTTTAAAAAGTAAACCTTGTAAATCTGTCATGGTAATTTATATTTGATATAAGTAAAGTTAAATTCTAAATTAATCGATAATTATGTTTCAGCTAGTGATGTTTTGAAAAATATTTTATCTGAAAATTGTCTTTTTAAATTGGAGTGTTTGCACATAAAACCTGATCTGATAGCAAATATATAACACTTAAACGCGTACTTTTGAACTATTTAGTTTTTATTTGCTATTTTTTCTGGTGTTAGAATCAAATTTCATTACAGGCGTTTATAATAGTTGTTTGTGTTTTGTTTTCATGAGTATTTTTTTCTGGAGATATTAAAGAAGATTTTATGTATTTATCAGATTTTTAGTTTTAAAATGATTGCGTAGACCGCAGTTAAGACTCTTTATGCTTTATTATGCTTAATGGTTATGAACCTAAATAATGTTTGATACTATGAAACTAATAAATACTTGTTGATTATAAGGGCTTATTTCTTACGTTCAAATTGCTATCATAAGTGAGAAGGTAATTAATGTGGAAAGACAATATTTGACAATTTGAAATATATACACATAAGTCTCGTTCTAACGATGTGTCTTTAAGATTTTTTCTAGAGGTTCCTAATTCTTCAGTATTGCATTTTAGTAAGTATTTATTTTTAGGTTATCATGACCTATGTGTATTATCTTGTATTTATCACTATTAAAGCTTATTAGCCATTAATCGACCATTTGAAGAGAGTCTTGAAGGGAATTATTATGCTAGTTTTTATTGTTTTTATTTATTTTTGCTATCACTTTTGTGTCATCTGCATATAATTTAGCTTTGTTATTTAAACCCTGTGTTAAGTCATTGATGAAAATTACAAAAAGTAAAGGACCAAGAACTAATCCTTGCGGCACTCCACTTTTTACAGTTTCCCATTTTGATACATATTTTCCTAGAAATACTCTTTGCTTTTTTGTTATTCAAAAACTACTCACACCAATTAAATAATAATCCCTCTATATCGATTGACTCCGATTTGAGAATTAATTTTCTATGTGCAACCGAGTCGAAAGCTTTTGCGAAATCTACAAAGGCAATATCAGCACAGATTCCTTTTTCTGTAAGATTAGTAAGCATATCTAAGGTTTCTAGCAGATTTGTAATGCAGCTTTTTGTTTTTATAAAACCATGTTGGACTTTAGTTAATAAATTGTTATCAACAAGGTGTTTCATTATTCTATCTCTGACAAAATTTTCCATTAGCTTACATACTCTCGAAGTTAAAGAGATTGGTCTGTAGTTGTCAGCCTTTAAGTTATCTCTTTTTTTAAACAACTGTGTAATGTTTGCTTCGAGCCAAAGTTCTGGTAGTGTTTCCGATTCAAGCGATCGGTTAAAAATAATGCATAAGGGTTAGCTAAGATTTTCTGCGCAATTATTTAGTATTATTGGGTGAACTTTGTCGCTTCCTGAAGATTCGTTTATATTAAGTTTAGTAATATGTTTGCTATATCAGTTTTGTTGAACAAAGGAATCGGACGAATTGAATTTGTTACACTTTCGCATAACGGAATAACTTTAAGATTTTCATCTGTAAATACGGAACAGAAGAACCTATTTAAATAGTTTGCTATAAATGTAAATCATTAGATAACTCGTTTGTGACCTTCTTTGGCCCTTAACTTTAAGTTTACTATTGATATAGGCATAAAGTTGTTTTGGGTTTTGTTTTTGATTCTACTGCGATTTTCATTTCGTATGCTTTTATACTACTTTTAACTAGATTTTTTACTTTTTTATTTTTTTCTTTATATTCTTGATTTAGTTTTGTATTTTTAAAATCTGATATTTTGTAACGATACTAAAGGTTTCTCTTCAGTCTTATTTCGTCTTTAAGTAGTGCATTCATCCATGAAGATCTTTTATTGTTTCTGAAATTTATTTTGTTCGATTTTAATTTTTGGTATACATTCATCGCAACCTTTTTCGTAAACATAAATAAACTTTAAATAACTCTGATTTTTTACTTTTATTTCAACAATAAGTTCATTTAGTTTGTCTCTTTCTAGCGATGTTGCATAATAAATTCTAGTGGTGTTGCTAATAACTGGACATATTTGCAATACTCAAGTTATGAGTTGTCTGAACGTTTATGGTATTCCATTCACTTTGAGATTGAACCCTCTCACTGTTTATGGGGCCATCTATAATAGATGTCACCATTTTTTAGCCAATTTTTGACCCCCTCCCCCTCTTTGTCACCAGTTGTCCTTTTTCCCTATACCCCGTGGAAAAAGACGTCATAAAATCCTGACCCCCTTACCTACTTTTAACTCCAAAAAAATTTATTTCATCTTGCAATGATGTTTGAATAAAAATATTCTCATACATTATCTTCTCAAAAACACATGTTTACGTAGTTTTCCATGTTAATTAAACTAAAATAAAAAATCTATAAAGTGACGTCCTTTTCTGACAACCTTCCCCACTCTCTCTCCTTTTTTTTTTTGACCATTTTAACTCGACCCCTCCTCTATTTGGATGACATCCTTTATGGATGGTTCCTATACACTTTTGAGTCACGTAATTTTTTTGCTTTTCTAAATAATGAATTTCTTTCAAATTTATCTTTTAGTATAACTATAAACGGGGCTTGTTTGTCACTGTCTGGTCTTAACTTTATAATACTTTGTATTCTTATTTTAACTTGCTATTTGTTAATAACTTTTTCAATAGTCTTTTTGACGTCTACTTTAACTTTGCTTTTGTCTTCTTTGTCTGAAGCTTTTACTCCAAATATTACAATGTTTTTTCTCATTTTTCTCTTTCCTTCGTTTCGCCTGCAACGGTTTTTTTTTATGAGCATTTGTTCATGAGATTTCTTTACTTTATCTGCCCATGTTACACTTGCGTATGTTGGTACTGGTTTATTATTTTCTAATTCTTTAACTCTTTTCATTAATTTTTCATTATTATTGTTGAGTTTTTCTATTAAACTTCTTAACTCTTTTAATATATGCTCCTGTTGTGCTTTGTAAGTGTTTAATTCCGTGACTTGAACACTCACCATTTTCTTTAAGCTCGAAAGGTTTGCTGGGTTATTTATTGTTGCTACGTAAACACAATAAAGAATAAATTTCAATATCCAAATGTTTATGATATGAAAAACTTTGTTTTCTCATTTTTTTTTAATATATTAAAAGTTTTTATTTGTTATTGTTTGCTTTTTCACTTAAAAAACGTCAGCAATCTTTAAAAGTGGAAAAAAACTCTTTTTTCTAATATTTTTATTTTTGCAGAATATCATACTTTAGTCTTTCCTCTTAAATGAATATAAATGAATAGTTCATTTAAAAAAAATATCTTTATACCAAATATTGCATTTTTTTCAGCATATTCAATCATCAACTCAAAAAAACTCAAAACAACAAAAAAATAATCACATAAAAAAATAATTAGGGGAAGTGGGAGCATATCAGCCCCCGTAACGTTTAGATTAATGGAGTATGAAAATAAAAACGGCATACGTTTTTTTAACAGTGTATTTCGATAAACACATCATTAAGCTTTAAATTGCTGCAATTAAGAAAAAAATAAAACAGTTTTTGAAAATATTATAGCACAAAAATCAGACTTAGTGAAAAAAACGGTTGTGCCCCTATAGTGAGGCACATATATATATATATATATATATATATATATATATATATATATATATATATATATATATATATATATATATATATATATATATATATATATATATATATATATATATATATATATATATATATATATATATATATATATATATATATATATATATATATATATATAAATGTGACATTTAAATATATATATATATATATATATATATATATATATATATATATATATTATATATATATATATATATATATATATATATATATATATATATATACAGTGGTGGCTAAAAGTCCTGGAACATCATATTTTATGTTATGAAATCAATATATTTGTGTGAAAAACAATTTATTAGTAAATTTTTTTATTTTTTTCAATAAAATAAGTGTTTATAACAATTTTAAAGATGGTACATGCACATACATGATAAAAGTTCAATATTTAATGGAAGCATAGTTATTGTCAATTACAATTTGGATACGTTTTGGCATGCTGTTAACAAGTTTTGTACAATAGCCTGGTGTAATTTCATGGATCCACACTGATTTGATTGCTTCAACTAAATCATTATAGGATCTAGGCTTTTTAGCAGCAACTTTTACTTTTATAGTATGCCAACAATTTTCAATAACATTAAGATCTGGTGATGACCCAGGCCAATTTTCAAGGGTTTGAATTCCTTCATCAGCAAACTACTTCTTTACAATTTTGGCTGTGTGGCATGGTGCACCATCCTGTTGGAAATAAGTGCAGTTCAAGATCTTCATGAAAGGTGGCAACTTCTCCTTCATAACATCCAAATAGACTTTGCTGTTTGTTGTGGTATTCTTGGGCATTATCCATAATGGCCCACGTCCTTTGACAGAAATAGCACCGCAAACTATACAAGATACAGGAGCCTTGACACTGCTAACTGTATATTTCGGCATATATCTACAGTTTTTTGGTCTTCTTACAAAGTTGTTTGTAACATTAAATTGTTTAACACATGTTTCATCAAAAAAAAGAACTTTAGACCAATTTTCTCCAGTCCAATTTTTGTAGCGCTGACAAAATGTTTTTCGATCTTTTAGGTTTTTTGATGATAAAAAAGGTTTTTTTGCTGGCTTGCATGCCTTCATTTTGAAATCAACCAAACTTTTTTCTCAATAAAATTTTTTTTTGAAATCTCGTGTGCAGATAGCCGTGGATTTGCTTGGCTGATCTTGTCAATAAGTTTGTCAGTTCTTGAGGTGGTTGCTCTGGGCCTGCCTGATCTCATCTTTGAAGTAAAATTTAATTGGGGCTCTTCTTTATGCCTTTTTAAAGTTCTAATTACAGTTGATAATAAACAACCAAGCTTTTCAGATATTTCTCTTTGAACTAAACCTTGTTCATATAATGCAGCAATAATTCCTCTTTTTTTAGGTGAAAGTTCTGGCATAATATAGCTGATAAATTGCTTTTGAATAATAAAAAACGACAATAAATTGCGCAATATACAAATATGTAACTATAAACATATTGCTATGTAAAAACAAAAGCATCAAACCTTCGAAATTTATACTTTAGATCAAAAATAAATTTTTTTGGTCGTTAAATGTTTTGTTCCAAGACTTTTGGCCACCACTGTTTATATATATATATATATATATATATATATATATATATATATATATGATATATATATATATATATATATATATATATATATATATATATATATATATATATATATATATATATATATATATATGTATATAAATATATATATATATATATATATATATATATATATACAATAATATAAGAATAATATATATATTAAATATATATATATATATATATATATATATATATATATATATATATATATATACATATATATATATATATATATATATATATATATATATATATATACATATATATATTATATATATATATATTATATATATACGGGAGTGGATTCATAACAGCCCCTGTAAAGTTTAGATTAATGAAATATGAAAATAAAAACGACCTGTGTTTTTTTATCAATGTATTTCAACAATCAACAACAAAAAAAAGCTTTTTAGCAATTAATTTTAGCAATTTAGAAAAAAACGCAACAGTTTTTGAAAATGTTATTAAAGAAAAATCACAAAAATCGCTAGGGGATATACTTTTCGTGGTACAATTTCTCCAGGTGTATCATTTTTTGTTTTTGCAGTCTTGTCAACTGTTTGAGCATATTTGTTTTTTTTAGTTTTTATAACCATGTGTTTTTTCAGTTCCGATATATAAGGTGAACTGGCGAGTATAGATGTTTTGCCCTTTCGGCATCGTTTGCGAGTTTGCTGAGTTTTCTTGTTCAAAATACATTCAATTTCTACAGGTTTATTATTTTTTGTTTCTGCAGTCTTGTCAACTGTTTGAGCATTTTTGCTTTTTTTAGTTTTTATAACCATGAGTTTTTCCAGTTCGGCTTTATTAGGTGAACTGGTGAGTATAGATGTTTTGCCCTTTCGGCATCGTTTGCGGGTTTGCTGAGTTTTCTCGTTCGAAATACATACAATTTCTGCAGGTGAAGCAAAAATCTTCAAATCACTTCAAAAATATATCTGTTACATATTTTATATATAACCACTAGGGTGATATGATGCAATAGTACCCGGAGGAGCTTTTTTGACAATATTTACATTCTTGGGAGCTCAAACTGAGGAAAAATAATCAAGGGGGGCACATATATACCAGAGGCACTCATACACATTTCAATTGTTATGATTTTCCCTCGTTCAGCTGATGTTAAAATTCCCACTTGTTTTTTACCCCTCTTAGCAATTACTTTTGACACTTTTTTTGGTACTAAAGAAATTCCTGTCTCGTCAACGTTATATATATTATTTGGAGTTGTGTTATTTTCATCAATGGTTTTAGTCAATAGTTCAAAAAATTTATTCACAGCAGGTCGGTTAAATCCCATTGTTCTAGCTCAAGAAGTTCCCTCTGGCATACGCAAAGAAATAACAGAATTGCGTTTTAGCTTTCTGCACACTGGTAGCCTGCCATTCCTGTTTTTTTGTTAAAGTTATGTGGTATCTTGTTCTTTTCAGCTAGCTGAAAAGCCAATTCTCTTAAATCTTTCATTGTAACTGGAAACAAGCGACTCTCTAGAAAAATTAGGTGTTTAGCTAACACTTGCTCTTGTTTAAAGTTAAAAACTGATTTAAAATTCCTGAATTTTTTTACTGCAAAACTATTTAGTTCTAAACTCCCTTGCTGAAGTCTTTTTATTCTGTCTCGCAGTGTCGTTGTTGGGATACAAAACGTTAACGATGCCTTCTTATACCCCATTTCCTTCTTCATTACTAATTCAATAGCTGCTTTCATTGAATTTTCTTCCCATGATTGACGATTAGTTAGACGTTTGTATTTTCTAACCATATTAGGTATTACTGTATGCACAAAATAATAATTCAAAAATATAAAGTTATTAATATTATTTTTTATGTACTCCATCAAAGAAAAAGTATAATATAAACGATATATAAATATACAATATGAATGTATATATATACATAAACATTATATATATATATATATATATATATATATATATATATATATATATATATATATATATATATATATATATTAGGAAATGCATAATTATATACCTACAATATATGATAATCACCAGATATACATAAATATATACCAAAACGTATTAATACTAAAAAGAAATTAACACCGTGGATTGAGAAGTTTACAAAAGCAGAAATTAGAGAGAAAGCAAATTTATGGAAGAAATTAATATCGAACAATTTCAAGTCATCAGATTTATCAAAACAATACAAACAACAGTGCAAATTAGTCGAAAAAATTGTTCAGCGAAACCGTATCGAATACGAGAAGATTATTGAAAAATCAAAATACAATCCTAAAGTTTTCTATGAGTATGTGAACGCAAACAACAAAATTAAATCAGGCATAACGTCAATTTTCGATGAATTTGGCTATCTTCATACAAATAGAGAAGCAATTGCAAATATCTTAAATAAAAGTTTCAATTCTGTTTTTGTTCATGAAAATAAAGTTAATATTCCACTTGTTACAACTAAAACTAATAAGACAATTAGATGTAGACAATCTGATCACTCGTGACTCAATTGAGAAGAAATTAGAACAATTAGATATCAACAAATTCGTTGGTGTAGATGGAATTAGTCCATATGTAATGAACAAATGTCATAGCACCATTTGCAAAACTCAAGTTGATACAGCGGTTGGCAGAGCAAACTCAGTGCTTGGTATTATAAGAAGAACATTCAAATACGTCGACACACATATGCCCAGCAGGCACAATGACGTTGAAATAACGTCGTAAATTGACCATATGCCACGTTGAAACAACGGTGAAATTTGGTTGAATTGGAAATAAAATCCGACGTTGAAAACTACGACGTTGAAACAACGTCGATGATTACGTTGTTTCAACGTTGTTCTAACGTCATATCGACTACATATCAACCATATTTCAACTTTGAATAGGTGATATTCGGTTGATAAGTAGTTGATACGACGTTAGAACAACGTCGAAACAACGTAAATTCAACGTTGATTTTTGTTTTTTATTTTGGTTAAGTCCAATTAACTAAAAAATTATCTCAACTTTAATTGCAATAAAATAACACAATAAAAAAGCAATAATTTGCGCAGAGGATAATATATTTCACGTAAATTAATCAGATACAACTAAACTGCTTCAAGGGACTTTATATAAAATGCAAATAAAATAAATTGTTTAAAAAAAAAGTTTTATTAAACAATAGTTTCAGAACAATTAGGAAAAAGTATGAATGTTGTTTTGTACCGATCACCACCATTCGATCTGTCGAGTGCATATTTGAATAAGTCATTTTTCCTTTTCCTATTTCGGTAACTGTAGCAGTTGCTTTAATTGATATGACGCTCTCTATAAAAAAAGGTATTGCCTTAGTTAACCTGCATTATACATTATTAATATCATATATATATATATATATATATATATATATATATATATATATATATATATATATATATATATATATATATATATATATATATATATATATATATATATATATATATACAGTATATATATATATATATATATATATATATATATATATATATATATATATATATATATATATATATATATATATATATATATATATATATATATATATATATATATACACATATATATACATATATATATATATATATATATATATATATATATATATATATATATATATACACATATATATACATATATATGTATGTTTATTTATGTACATATATATATGTATATATAGAGCAAAAAAATGGTTAAGTATGCATTACAAAACAACCATAGTGCATTAAGGTTGTTCTTTAGCTCAATGCAAAAAACTATAATAACAAGATTCAAAGGTTTTTTATTTAAAACTATTTTTAACTAACCTTTGATTCACATTTTTTGTATTTGTCTTACCTCTGATTTTAGAAAGTTTGTTAACCTAAAGGGTTAAGAAAATAATTACACCACATTATTTTTATAATACATTTATAAAAAGTTACAAGTAGATTAACTTAAGAAAATACATAATCGAAAAAATATATATAAAAAAAGTGCAAAATAATAGTTTAAAAATACAAAAAGTAATGGTTTAATAAAAATTACCATTTCAGACACCACCCATTTAAACTGTTATCATAATTTTTAAAGAGTTAAGAAAATAATTAAATTACATTATTTTTATAGTACATTTATAAAAAGTTACAAGTAGATTAACTTAAGCAAATACATAATCCCAAAAAAGCAATAAAAAAGTTGCAAAAAGTCATGATTTGAAATAACCTAACTTCAGACCTTATCCAAAAATCATTAAAACTGTCATCATAATTACGAAAATGACTGCTGCGAATTCATCCATAAAATATCAGGACTATTTGTCGTGATATTATTTTAATTACTGGAAAGAGCTTTACTAACATCTCTTTCTTTTCTACCAGTGCATTTAGAACTTTCTTCTGAAATTCTAATAATAAAGATATAAAAGTAAGAACCAAATATTAGTTAATTTTTAAAAGCATTGAAACACAAGAACCAAATACACTATTTCAAAATATCTATTAAATAAACAAAATTATTGGATTTTGAAAAAATATATTTCTTCTGATGGCTTAAAGATAATTACTTGCTTTTTTAACTAATTAATAAAATGAATGCATATCAAAATAAATATCAAATATTTAACATACCTTCCTCAGTAATGGGAGACTTTCCATTCGATAAGGAATCTTTTTTAGTAGCTTTTTTTATAAGGGAAACAAATGCAGGTGTCTCTGGCAAAACAACCTTTTTTCTTTTCTGTGGAAAAACACACACGCCACCTTGGCTTTGCACTAGTGATTTTGCCGGTTATCCGTTTCAAAAACCGGATAACAGTTCTCATCAATTTGCGGTTAATTTGTCACAAATTAACCGACTATTCGGTTAATTTGTGACGTTTTCTGAATACAGGATCTTCTAAATTTCAACGAACGTAGCGTTTTAAACTAATTTTTTTAAAATTAATGTTAAAGTGTACATTTTCAAGACAGTTAGTAAATACAGTCCTATATTATATATTTATAACAAAACATGGAAAAAGATATATATTTTTTTTATATTATATTATAATATACCTTTTTAATTATATAATTAAAAAAGGTAGGAATAATGTACAAGTATAGTTTAAATGTTTTAATATCAGCGGATATTTTAAAATCATTCTTTCATATAAAAACATTTGATTTGGAAAAATGAGATGTTATGAAGTAAATTTTTTTAGCGTGTATTTTAAAAACTTATTGTTATGCGGACATAGATGGAAACATAGATAAACTTGAATGTTCTCAAAACAACTTGTTGCGTAAAGATGATATAAAGAATATTTGCTAACACTAAAATACCGCCAAATCTACGAATAAACAAATTCTATTGGTTCAAAAAATACGCTGAATAAGCAAATTTGAGTTCCAGAATATTCTGAAGAAACTTTCTTAAAAATGTATTGCTTGAGTTGTAAAAGTAATAAATAAACCTTTGAGATTTCTATTGTATATTGTTTTAAGAATATATTATTAAACAAAACTGATTAAATTAACATTTAAATTAATAAAAGAAATATATTATAATCTTTGATAAATTAACATTTGACAAACAATAATCGTCATAATTACGATGTTACTTTCTATAAAATTTTGTAACATTTTTAAGTCGGTTTTTATTATTCGAAAATAGATATTTGATATTCGAACAAAATCCGGTTAACCGCAAAACCGGATAACCGGCGAAATCACTACTTTGCACTATATTAAAATACTCTCTTTCCTCAGGAAAATTTTGCCACCGCTGATCCTAATATTTTTAAGATCAAAAAATCAACCACGTAAAAAAATAATCAATACTAGAATGCTAGAAATAAAATAGCTTTTGCTAAATGCTATAATAAAATAAATGTCATACCAATGAAATAAAATGTCATAACAAAGAAAGAAAAAAAAAACAATTAAAAAAATAACTTTAAAACATTCATAAAATAAAATATATTATTTAACAACCAATAAAATGTGTAAAAGCATAGAAAAAAAATATTCAAAATCTTTTCTTTCTAAAACAACTTGCAGACAGACAATCAATACCTTGAACTATAGTATGCAGAGTATGCATAAAAGTTGTTTTCTTTTTCTTTTTTTGCGTTATAGGAGTAGGTACTTGGTTATTTTTGGTTAGATTATATTTTCTCTTGCATAAGAACAGTAGTGGTTCCTATAATAAATAATATCAAAATAAAACTAATAATACTTGAATTAAGTGTTTAACTTAAGTTTAAATTTTTTAATATAGTTAACACTTTCTGATTCTGATTCTATCTGAGTATCGCTAGAGTGGCAAATTCAAAATTATCACATAACTCATGATAAGAATAATCATTCAATTTAAAACTATGTATTAAATATATCATATAATAAAGAATATATCTTAAACACTAACAACAACATATACAATAATAGAGCATTTTTAAAAAACAAGGAAAAAAAGTAATAACTTAATGTTTATAAAAAAAAAATTACAATATCTCCACAACATTTAATATTGAGCAGCTTAAATATGTATTAGTTAGACTGCGGTTCATGCATTTCATTGAAATAATTTATTACACTTAATGATAATGGGCAACAAAAAAACTATCAATCATATTTTCTCTCTATTTCTCTTAATTTTCTAGCCAAACAGCTCTGATGTACATTTTGCTTGCTCAACTATACTTTTTAAACTAGAAAAATTTATTTTTTAAAACAACACATTTTATATTCATACATAAAATATTTGTTAGTGTAAAATAACTTACAGAAAAGTACAACTTTAACTTATACATTATATAACTGCCTAGTGAAAATTATATTAAAATTCAAGTGTCAAACTCTTTGAATCACATGGATTGTTAAAAAGCGGTAAATCTGCAGTTAAGCAGCCTAAAATAGTTTTTTTTTTCGCTTGTTGTGAACTCATGTAGAGACATGCTTAAAGTGGTGACTTTTTAATATAAAAAGAGAATATTTTTGACTTCACTACATTCCTTAACTATCTTATAACCTGCTGCTACAAGGGAGTGCTGCTACATCGACTATCATTTAGCCTCCTGCTAAAAGGAAGTGCTGCTACATCAACTGAGGGTTTGGCATGTATGTATAAATATATATATATATATATATATATATATATATATATATATATATATATATATATAATATATATATATATATATATATTATATTTATATAATATAAAATTAGTATAGTTAAATATACTAACATACATAGTAAAACCAATTAATCAAACTCTAAAAAAAAACTTACTTGAAAAACTGTAAAAAAAATTCAAGCAAATTCTACTTGTAATCCACACCCATGAAATATTACCGTCATAAAAAAATATCTCTTTAATATTTATCCAACTAACTGCATCACAAGTCAAGCCATATGATATTGTTAAATTGTCAAATTTAAAACCTTATAAAAAGGCAACAGAAGGCCTTAGAAATATCTAGTAGAGTCACGCATGCGTATTTGAGTTCTCAAAATGCAATACGAACGGTCGAACTCGAAATATAGACGTGGAATCAACGTCGATTTTATTTTAATAGTTTTAAACAAATTTTCAACGTTGATACAATGTTGATTTTCGGTTATACGACGTCGCGACTTAAAATCAACCATAAATCAACGTTGAAATAACGTCGTGTGCCCACTGGGTGGTGAAAATGTTGTACGTAACATTTGTTCGACCACACCTTGAATTTGCGATTCAAGCTTGGTGTCCATTTTTAAGACATGACATCGATAAAATTGAGAAAATCCAAAGAAGAGCCACAAAGTTAGCGCCAGCATTAAAAAAAATACCATATGAGAAAAGATTAGATATTATGAAATTAACAACTCTAGAAGAACGGCGAATACGTGGCGATCTAATCCAACAGTATAAAATTCAACATGGGTTTGATAAAGTAAATTGGGTTTCAAACTACAATTATACCGCGTCACAAGAAGGCCCCCATATGAGGCAACATAAGTTCAAATTAAAAAAACTATTCTGCAAGAATACTATCAGATCAAATTTTTTTTCTAATTGTATAGTCAACATATGGAATAATCTACCGAGTGGCATAATAGAAGCAGAATCAATAAATCAGCTCAAAAATAAACAAGATAAATCAAGTATTTGCAAAAACATTTTATAACAAAATTGTTTTTAAGATAATTTGATTTAGAGATTTAGGAATTGTGCAAAGCTGATACAGTGCAATATCAAATGTTATTGCTGTTAACACCAGTTGTTACAGCTACCTCTTATTATTATTATATTACATTTATGTATATCTGGTGATTATTATATATTTTGTAATGTAATTTATGTTATTATATATTGTTAAGAGAATAAATTGATATCTTGTTATATTTAATATATTAATAAAAAAACTCATTTATAAAAACTAAATTAAAAAAAAACGAAATCTTATTTCCGACATTTCAAAACAATACTATTTCTATTTAAGTTTTTACATGTAGCATTCAAGTGTGACGACTGTGATTATTGTCATTCGTAATTATCTAACTATGACAAATATCAAAAGTACGCGGTTGTGCTTCCTGTGCGTCTATGCGGTTCTGCCCCAGAGGAGAGTTTTTAGAAAGAATGCAGTTTTATAGGTTGCTCATTAAGTTATGCCGATGTCAAAAATGGTTTTTACTTGATAAAATAATGCTGATAACACATATGTTTAACACTAAAATCAAATATTGTTTAATCCTAAAAAAAAGGTCTAGAAAAATATGATGTAAATTTAATATTTTTATCAAAATAGACATTACTATGTACAACTTCCCAGAAACGCAACAGGCGTTCTTTTTGACATAATCAAAATGAAGGAAACTGATTTACCGACGAATGGTATGTTTTTTGCCATATTAGATAACATTTTTCAAAGGGAAATGTTAAAAAACGGTTATGCCTCCATATGCGGTTATGCTCCCCTAAATAACATTACATCTTTGAGGATTGTACTAAAGTAATTTCTCAACCATAAAAAAACAACAATAATAAATCTTTTCTATCTCTAAAAAAGTTTGCGATCCTATTTTTTGAAAAAAATTTCGCTCTTGAGATACCAAATCAATGCTCCGTAGAGAATAACTTTAAAAAAACGCACTTTTAAAAAGCCGCATTTCATCTTGAGCGTCTTAAATCGTATTATCTTAAGCAACTTCACCAAGTACTATCATAATTTAAATAACATGACAACAACTTTTGTATTATCTCATAAAACCCATGGAATTAGCAGTAGATAAGCATAAAATGTTGAGGATATAATAAATTTTTGATGATCTTGTTTCGTTTTGACGTAATTATAAAATATTAAATAATGAAAATTGATAACGGGGATGGCAAATTTTTTAACAATAAAACAATGAAAGGACGTTACCTATACAACCAGGAAATTCAAATAAATTCCGTCGAACTTGTATGAATATACTTAACCAAAAAAAATAGCAAATTATTCAGTAGTATAGCCGTAAAAAAGAATTATACCAACTTAAAAACCTGCTCATCGTATGCAACCATCTCCTAATAATTTTATCTTTTAGATATATCCATTTTAGAGATTTTTTTTTTTTAATTTTATTATTTAGGTGCCCCAAGAAGACCTAACAGGTTTGTCACAGAGCACCGCGGAACTGCATTTAACTAGGAAGTTCACGCCTAGTCAAATCATGTTGTTTTTCAAAAAAAAAACTACGGTGTTTGGAATCTGAAAACAATATTATTTCAAAATCTTCGCTGCAACTACCCCAAATGTGAATTCTATAAAAAAATAAGATAATTTTTTTTTACTATCGTTTTTTAAATTTAAGTTTATGGATTTTTAACTTGACTTAATAATTTTTTAGTGTTCGAAAGCTATAAACATTTAATATTTACTCCTCATTTTGAGGAGAAATTTTAATTTTTTTTGTCACTTTTGAACGTTAAAAGAATATTAAGTAAAAATTAAAACCTAACAATAACTTTAAAATGAAATACTAAAAAGCATATTTTATTAACTCATCGCCTTCAGATTCAGAGCAGGGGGTCAACTTTTTAGAGTACTTTTGTTCTCAGGCTCCAATTACCGCAACTTTTTTGCAAAACATTTTCATATGACATATGTATGAGCATCTTTAAGTTTGGCGTTTACATAATAGAAAGTAACATACCTAATATATGAAAAAATCTTCTTCCTTCCATACCCCTAGTTCTATAACCTGGTGGTTATTATTTAAATTGAAACCGTTATTTCAAAATTGACAAAAGTCCATTAATTAAAACTATAATTTAAAATTTGATTTGAAAAAATGTGCATGATATCTGATATGATTTATTTGTTTTTCATAATAAAACTATTAAAACTAGTCTTTTATTTATATACTCCTATCTTTAGTCTCGTTAGCACTATTGACGTTTTTTTTTTAAAAAAAAATTTTTTTTGTTTATTCTAAAAGGTTTTAATTTAATTTAAAAGATTATGTACCAATATTAAGAATAACTAGATGTCTAACTTCCGCGTATTTTTTGAAGCAAAAATTGGCTATTAGGGGGGGGGGGCAAATTTTAAAAATAGTAAATCACGGTTGTTTGAATCAAATAATATTTAATATTTAATATTAAAATTTTATAAATTAAAATTAATTCTTGTGCTACAGCAGGTTGCATAAATCGAGCAATAAAAAATGACAACAGAGCATTTCATAAATTTCCAATTAATAATAGCGAACTCTGTAAACAGTTGTCAATCGTTGCTATAAAACGTGAAACATTTATTCCTACTGAGCACAGCCGCATATGTTGTTATCACTTTTTACCATTAGATTACAATTAACCTGATTTTAATAACAAACTTAAATTAAAACCTTTTTTAGTGCCATCTCTTATTATTGATTCAAAATCAAAAGCCAAAAGAAAGTTTAGTTCTATGTCGCCACAAACAGAGACTCATTAAAAAAGTTAAATTTTCAGAAACACACAGTCACCATCATATCGATTCCCATTTTGATATAAGTGATATATAATTTTTATCAATACTATCTGTTGTTTCTGAAATAACACTATTGGAAAATTAAATTATTTGATATATCAAGTAATTTATATATCCAATAGCAAAAAAAAAATGTTTCTGAAAATGCTGTTAATGTTCTTGGTGAAAACTTTACCCAGTTAATACAGATTGGTTCAAATTTGGTCAATATATAGTCAAAATTGGTCAAAAAATGGATAAAACGTTTAGCGACCTAATATTGACTAAAAATCGACGCTTAATTTGAAATGCATATTTCAAACTTTTTTAAATATACGTTTATTAACGTCGATCTAACGTTTAGAATATCGACTTACATTAGTCACTATTGTAAACCTTTAATCGACCTTAATTAAACGTAAACATTTATATATTTAAAACCTACCTTTAAATCCTTTAATATACACGTTTATTAAACGTCGATCAAACGCTTACAATATTGACAAATATAAGTCGTTATTCTAAACGTTTGATCGACATTTAATAAATGTTTATTATATTATAATATAGTAATATAGCCATTTTTCAGAAGACTCATATAACAGCTTTACACGGCTGTTTCAGAGTGAACAGCTTCTTGCTATTTTTTGAAAATAATTACAAATAATATCTTTTAAACGTCTTTTAAACATTAATGTTTAAAAGACGTTTAAAAGACGTTTAAAACACATTTAAAACGTAACTTTTAAAAACAAATGCCCGTCGGGTTGGATCAGTATTACAATATTAACACTTTTCTGTGGAAAAATAACACATTTTTTATAATTATACATAACAATATAGGCAATTTAAATAATTTGATAAATATCGTTTTGGTGGATTAACATAAATAATTTTTTTTCAGTTAATATATTTTTATATGTTCTATAAGTAGAAAACGATCTTTGTATGCAATTGATACTAGTTTTAATTCCATTTCATATGGAAAATATTCTTCATAATCTTACTGACTTCTTATGTTAAATGTTGGCGCTTCATGCTTCTTCTAGAGTTTTCCAAAGTTTGTTTTATTTATACACTCGCTAAAAAAGCTGTTTTAATAATTTTTATTTAATAGTGAATTGGGAAGTAACGCATTAAAACTTACGTCATTGCTTTAAAATGTAAACAAAATTTTTTTGCAAATTGGAAACGTTTTAGTATGTGCATAAAGGGTTGTAATTTTAATAATTTGGTAAACTTGGCAAAAACATAACGTTTTTTATATAAAACAAGTAATAACAAAAATATAAAGCTAAAAATCTAAAGCTAATAAAATATAAAGCTAAAAAATAAAAGCTAAAAAAAATATAAAGCTAAAAAATCCAACTTAAATTTTTTTTTTTTATCCATGTTCACCAAAAATCTGATAAAATAGACATTCGTTTATAAGTATGTAAAATTACAACGATAAAGCATGTAGCTTAAAATATCTAATCTTGATTGGCCCAAGACAGGTTTTCCTTAAAATACGCAAAAAACAGAAAAGTGATCCCAAATCATTATCAAAA